ACATTGCTTCTCTGTCAAATCTACAGGTTAATGACATTCTTGAGACACCATTAGTGGTGCCCAAGTGGCCAAACAGCACTCAGGCGGTCGAGAGAGGCATAAAAGTGATGACTGAAGCTTGCACTGAAGTGACGGGATACGAATCGAGAGATGGATATATTAGGCAAAGATTATTGTCTAGGAAAATGATGCCAAGGTTCCACACAAAAAAGAATTTCAATATGAACTTGTAATGATTTTCTATACGGTGTACCTGTAAAATAACATGTGAATTAAATCGATGTCACCCATGTAAAATTTATCATTATCCTGGAAAACATTAAAGGACATCTAATTTTTGGTATACACTAAAAGTTGACAAAAAGTCGTTCGCGATGCAGCAGGGTAAGTATGCATGAAATGGCATGAAATTTTGCACAGGTGTTTGTTACAGCCATATAAACGATGCCTGAAAAGTGCAGACTGCAACTCAATTAAAAGTGTTTTTTCCTTGCCCCCTAGTGTCCATATTGCTTGAAAATTATATGTGAATTTTTTATTGTATTACTTTATGTATATACATAGGAAAAAATAGAGAGAGAGGAACCTCTCCCTTTAGGGAGGATTTACTCTAATTTTGTAAATTTTAATTTCATTCACAAAAAACTCTTTCAGACTATTGACTGGAACTACTTCATATGAGCAGAGGGACAGAAGTAATATAACAAAGCAGGACATAAAAACAGTACTACACTGTACACATTTGAAGAGCTTCAGCTTTTAACTGTACTGTACAGTATAGTCTTCATTTACGCAGTCAATTGAACCTGTGGAGGTCCGCGTAAAACGAGAAACGCTTAAACGAAATAACAGAACATATGGGATTAATTGAAATAGAGACTGGGCCGACCCCCAAACTACACTTTTTCCGACAATACGTATGTTGTAGTAAAAATAACATCTTAATTTTATGATGGTATGCACACACAATTAATATTTAAGAGAAATACAGTCGCCAGGTTAATGTCCATTCAAATAATGGACTCAACTCCTGCTGCTCCCCCCCCCCCCTTTCCACGCTCGCTGGCTCCTCCCTCTCTGAGAAATGTTTGGGTGAAAACACTAGGTTTTTAGGTTTAGTAATAAATAATACCTCAGACTAAAGTTAGGATAATATAATTGACATTGCTGGATTCCTTGCAAGACTGCCAATAATTTGAATATAAACGTCATATATTTTGCACAAAAGATAAAATTTTTGCTCTTTCTAATAAAATTCTTAAATTAGATCTAAAATTTGTATGTCTAATGCAAATTTTAGGATGTTTATATTTAAATTAATCACCATCTTATAAGAATTCCAGCCATGTAAATTATATTCTGGCCAGGTAATTTCTATGAATTTTATGAGCTAAAAACAAATGTCTTCAGTAAATAAACAAATTACACATCACCCGCATAAATGATGAAATTTACCGCGTAATTAAAACATTTCATTCTGGCAAGGTGCCGCGTAAATGACCAAACACGTAAACAAAAACCGCGTAAATCCAGACTATACTGCACTGATATATCTTTCAAAACCTTCCGAGACAACTTCTGTCTTTTTTTGCCATCTCTCAAATATATGCAAGTGATTACTCTTAAAACAACCATCTTAATGGAAGAACTCCTTTTTGAGAGAATTTTCTGGAAAAGTTCTCGGCAAATTTCAATTCCAGCCATTGGAGAGTTCTGGTTAAGAGGGACTCTGGCTAATGAAGATATTACAGTATTGTACTTGTAGTTTTATCCCATCTGAATAAATATAAAACATGTAAAGGAAAATAAATTATTCAAAACAAACACACACACACTGTGGCCACGTGGGTTCCGCAGGGGTGTGGAAACCCTCGGAGGGAACAACAATAAAAGGTGCAAAGTTTAAATGTATGAAGTGCAAATAAAAAATACAGGCCCTGCGGTAATCATCAGGTACTGTCAAAATGCAAACCAATAGTATACAGATTTATTTCTAAATATCTTAATACCTGAAATGCTGTTTTATTTAATTAAATCATTGTGGTGTATACGGGTAAGTCATGAAATCCAATGTGATATACACAGGTCTGGGTAATTTGGCAGATTGTAGATGTAGCATCAGTGAGAACCAAAGAAGGGTACAAGTTAACTTTAAAAATTAAACTTTAAGAGTCAGCAAGAAAGGTTAAAGAAATGTAATTTCTAAGGCAATATTAACACAGAAGGATGTTCAATGACACGATGACAAAGTGGGTACATAGTAGAAGTGTTGGAAAGATGTTCATATATTAACACCCAAACTCATAAGGTGAACCCAGTGCAGTAAGCTGTCACTTACCCATGAACATATGTTTACTATGATCTCACTTGCATACCATCATCTTCATCTATAAATGGTTCTTTTTTACATGAATTTATTTTATATATAATTACAGTAATCTATATTTAATGCATATTTCTATTTATACTGCATAATAGTTATTGCACAAGTAATTATTATAAATGCACCTAAGGTATACAAGTTATTTCTTGGACAATGTGTATGTGTGTTCACCTCAAGATAACAATGGAGACTGCCTTTGCTCTCAACTTGCCACTCAGCCTCCAATTTAACGTATACACATATGCATGAACTACCAATAATCAATGGATTTCATTACTGAATGATACTGTATGCAAACCAAAGTTGTTTTTTCCCCATAATTATTTTGGGACATCAAGAAAATATCATTATTTCACGAGAATGACATTTCAAGGTGTGAGAGTATTAAATCATGGGAGAGGATAAAGGAGCAGTACATTAATGAGAGATGATGAAGGGAGTGAGGCATACCGAGAAATACAAAATATGAAGTGCTAGGGCAGCCTGAAGGCTCTTTTGTCATGACCACCCTCCACACAAGAAGCTCCTAGGGAGTGAGGCATCAGAGAAGATAAAAGATGATATAAAGTAAAGACAATTGGAGAAAGTAAACCCTGAAAGAAGATCATCTAATAATAAGATAAAGTAGTATGATCTGGGCTACAGTATGTTTCCAACTGATGATAATGAAGTAAATACAAGGCGTGGTCTATATAATGCAGCCCTCAAATGGGAAGGGTTAGATTATTTCCAGGCATTTACAGTATGTACAATAAAAAGACCACATAAGTGACTTCACAGGGGTCAAAACCATTTTTTTGTGGACTGTAATTCCGTATGACTCCAATAAAGTTATGGCACCCATAATATTACATTTAGGTACCTCTCAGACAAGTGTCACTGTTGTAGCTATTCACCGATTCATCCCCATGACAAGTTAATTATACAGTACAGTATATGTATCCATATTCAACCAGTTATGCACATTACAATGATGAAAGCTGTAACACCTCCAGTATAATGGTAAGACACTCCTCTTGTCAAATTCATAAAATATGTTTATTATAGACATTCTAAGAGACACAAAGTAAGCAATTTGTATCAGTTCATTGGATATATTTTCAATGTAACACAAAAGTCAGCACAGCGCTCAACTTCCTGTCAGACCAGAGGTGATAGCTCTGACCTGACTGGGGTTGACCAAACTTAAGCAATACTTCAAAAGATTAATCAAGCTAAAGCCCTGTCTATAAATCTTACCAGTGATGCAATATGCAACAGTGATGACCTGTTACTCTAGGTTTTGCTGCTGTATTCTTCAACTTGCTCAGTCTAAGTTTCCAAGCTCATGTATGGATTTAATACAGTGCCCAAATTTTCTTTAATATCATTGACAAGAAAAATTTGTTCGTTAAAAAATACAGGCTATACATGTGAAGAATTTGTTAAATGTGATCAGTGCATAAGAACAGAATGATGAATAAGGCTATTCATCCATATCAATTGTATTTTTTTTCCATTTCTAGGGAGACAACACAGTGCATTGTGTGAATCCAGTGTGCATTAGAACCAAGATAGTTTCACACCAAGTGCTTCAAAAGATACTCTCGTGGCTAACATCTTCAAGTGTAAGGATCACATGACACAATTAGCCTAGTTCTCAGGAGGTGGATTGAGAATATTACAATCCTCAAGAGGACGTACCTAAGTGTAACAAAAACACAGCCAAAAAAGGTTAATACAATACACCTATGATACTGCATACTGTTAAGACTCAATTAAACAAGAGCACCAACAGTTGATACAAAATCTTATTTGTATAAGGGAACTGAACTACACACACAATCTTAACTAGACTTTGTAAGATGACAAAACCGTCATCAGGGAGGTGACAACAGCTCCGTAGTTATCTTCAATAATACACAGGGTGACTCAGAACATTTTTAGAATATTGCCTTACAGACTTAAAGGAGTTTGATGGATGCTTGTATTACAACAACAACATTGTCCTAGCTTGTGGGAGACCTTGTACATTAACAAGTGAGGTCAATGTTGCTGCAGTAACACAGTGCAAAAATTCATAAAATCTCCACAAAAATCTTTAAGGTAATGGGCATAAATTTTTCTGAAACACCCTGCATGAGTTCAAAAATTTCAAAATTTTGAAAGTTTGCCCAACAGCTGCTGTGAAAATATTCCTCACAGAATGCAAAAACACTGATCTATATATTAATTAAACTAGTATAATACAAGTTCAGCTTAATGTAGGAGTCTTCTTAATTTTGTGGTTATTGTAAAATATTTGAATTTGAAAAATTTTCATCAGGCCTTAATGTGTGACTTTAAAAAACTCTGACTTACTGGTGTGCCATACTTGAAGCCTTACTTCTTGTGGATGGAGAATGGGGATATGTGGGGTTACATAAGGGAGTGTGGGGTTACATGAGGATAATATGGAGCTACATAGGGAGAATTAGGTTACATTACTGTATTTCACATCATGGTTCTAAGGCACAACTGCTTTTCTGTAAGGGAGGAATTAATTTCATTTAGAAAATCCAAACTGAAAATACTGTTTGTACAAATTCTCTACATTCAGCATAGACGTTCATTCAGCAAAACATGCAAACTCTCGTACATCTGACTCAAATACATGTGTATGCTGCTGCAAGCCGTCCAGCCGTCCCACTGTATTTGTGAATTTTGAGTTGTTTGACTGCGAAAGAGATGTTGTCACTGATTAAAGTATTCCTTCCTAAATTTTTGGATTTAGGAATTCATTTGCACTACTGTACTTGCCTAAGGGTTTTTGGCTCTCATACACTATAAAAGGGGAGAAAATGGTCAGGAACACTATTATTTTAATCATCCAAGACCCAGTAAATAGTTTTTGTTTAGTATCAAAAAGTCAGTTCTTAGGAGGTTATCATGGCATCCAAGGATTAAACTAAATGTTTAAGTTGAAGATCCAAGGGGATAATAAGAGGCCAGGTATCAAGGAATCCTTGACTTACACAGTGTAAGTCTTTAAACAAAAGGGAAACACAGCAGATGCTTAAGTGAAATGAAAAAAAAATATATACAGAGATTATCTTATGATGGGTAAATAATTTTTATACTAATAAATAAATAGCATGAAGACTATGGTCCAGGAGCAATCTGAATTGACTCAAATGTCCATTTAACTGAATAATTTGGGTGGGAGGCAACTGAGGTAATATATTTTACACTACCTTTCTACATGAAACATCCATAGTGATAAAATGTCAGCTGGTCTAGCACAGTTTAATGAGAAACTGGTTCTGACAATAAATAAATAAATAAATTAAAAATAAAATAAAAGAATATTATCCTAATACCTCCAAACTGAGATTAACATCTGCCTCTCCAATTAAGAAACCTGGAGGGTGTATGAAAATAATAACTTTCTCCCAATTCTATTTAACTCTGGGAATGACCCTATCTCTGTGAGCTGACAAATGATGGTGCTTAAAACATTGAATATATTCCTTTTCTCTTCAGCTTCTGAAGTTGACACATTATGAGGCTGTATGTCTGCCACAATTACCATTATCTGATGTCTTGGATAATTAAACTCTTGGATAAGCAGCAGGGGTTTGAATAATCAAGTTATTTGAAAATGATTAATTACAAAAATATCCAATAAAGAAATGAAAAAATTAATATATATATATATATATATATATATATATATATATATATATATATATATATATATATATATATATATATATATATATATATATATATATATATATATATATATATATATATATATATATATATATATATATATATATATATATATATATATATATATATATATATATATATATATATATATATATACATACTGTATGGTATTACTATAATAATCTAAAATCAAATTTCTGCACCTACCTGATGTTGGCTAAATGCACTATTATCAATATAAAATATCTGGTTGTAAAATCAACATCAACAAATAGATAATTAGAAAAATAAAAATTCAGCCAAGAATCAAAATAGCCCACGAAGCTTAACAATGTATCATGCTTAGACGTACACCAGCTGCAGTTCACATACAGACTCCTTTTACATCTCAGGCAAGTTTTACTCTGAACATGAGGTCATGTCTACACCGCCTTCATAGAATTAAAAAATGTTTATTACAGTACTAATTATTCATTGTAATTCCAAAGGATCTTATTTCTATATATACTGTACAGTATTTTGAAAATACTTGTACATAAATTTATATTGAATATAATTTCCCAAGGTGCACGGGGTCATCAACCAATATCTCTAGCAGAGATCTTTGATGAACACAGCCCAATAACATGTTTTGAATACTGTGCATTTATACAGTTGCAGATTAAATGGCTCCCAAAGCTCATATACACCACCTAACACAACCATTAGAATTGGGATCCATCAGGATTGGGCCCTAAATCAACTGGTTATAATTTATTAGGTTTGTACCTATCAGTGGGACCCATTTGACCAACCACCATATGATACATTCACAGACTCTACCATCCTTAAGTGGACCAAGACAATTCAAAGGGTCTTCTCTTTATTGATTAAATGGAATGTTACCCTGGACTCTTTTTATACAGTATGAAAGTTAAGGAGTCTTTGTGAACTTCACCTTCAGTACATCTTGTTGCAAACTGATCATACTGCAGATCAACATACCTGCAACGTAAAATTCCCTTAACCAGTGTGAAAAACAAGTAGGGGTCGTATGGCATGAGGATCAGGGTACACAAATGTGGGAGGGAGGAATGAGACAGGATGAGTCAAGGTCCTGGAAAATGGGGATAAAGACAAGAAGCAAAGAAAACATGGAATAAAGGAACTGAAGACAAAAATAAAATAGTACTGTATAAGATAAAGGAGGATCAAAAGAAACGAGAAAATTAAAGAAGAAGTGATTAAAGAAAATTAAAACTGAAGAATTAAAAAAAAAAAAGCCTTTTTTTCTAAAAACCAGTTTTTGTGATATAGTCCAGAATGCGACACGTAGCTTATACCTAGGTATGTTAATGCCTAGCAATAACTCGCCAGGCCAAAAAAATAATAATAATAATTCAAACAGAATGGAAGGGGAAGTTTTGAGTGTTAAGACTGGAACACAAACACTCCTCAAAACAAAAAAATTACATAAACGAAATTGGATAACAAGAAATAAAAACAATAGAGGTTAGATGACACAGATAGTTATGGAGTATAGCTAAATGGATAAGATCTAGTAAAGAAGTAAGGAAAACAAGTACTGTAAGTGGCCAGAGATAAAGACATTACCACTGTCACCATTTCAGAGCCATTTTCCAAGCTTACATGGGTTAAGCTGGATAACAACACTGTGTAGACAAAGCATGGAAGAAAAGACAAGAAAAGTGAAATATACAGCATAGGGAGAGTAAAAGAGGTTAGTTTAGTTTGGGTTACATGGGATAGGTTATGTAAGTTTAGGGTAGGTTGGGTCAGGGAAGGTTAAGCCTGGTCAGGTTAAGATTGGTTACGTGAGGTTACGTTAGGCTAAAACAGGGACGACTGGACCCATCCACAGAGAAAACACTAGGAATCAGAGACGGTAAACAGTATACAGAGGATACAATGGAATGGAGGATAAAGGTCATGAATGAAAACTGTAAAAAGCTCATAACAAAATAACACAAGCTCGGTGATTTTTCATTCCACATACTGTACGTGCTACAAACTAAACAAAGCGAACAAGGTGCCTTGTGCCCCACTCAAAAAAACAAAGCCGTGATACAGCAGGAGTCCTGTGCAGTGATAACAAAGACATTGGGAGGCAACGCTGAAACAAGGAGGAGGTTATTGGTACAGGAGGACAGGTTAACGAGGACATTGGTACAGGAGGACAGGTTAACAAGGACGTTGGTACTAGAGGACAGGTCAACAGGGAGGACCACAGGAAAACAAACCCAAAAAATAAAAAAATAAAAGGACAACTCAAGTCAAGCACTGGTGCAGGACTCACCCGAAGCGGTCTCCCCCCTGAGTCTGGGGTTCGGAGCGATGGAGATTGCGTGGGAGACTCATACTCCGAAATCTAGCATGGCAGCAATGTTTGGGACAAGGGGGTTCATAGCGTCAGTGGCAGGGTATTATGGTAGGAACAATTTAATCTCAGCACATTTGGGCGAATAGGCACCTTAACCTAGCCCGTCAGGATTAGCATTTTTTTTTATTAATTACTTAACTAACTAAACCACTTTCAACATTAGGGTGTCCACAGTGAGACAAGCAGCTTACTATTAGTAATTCTGGTCCATTTGCCCTCTCTTATGCACAATTAGGTACTTGCTAAATTTGTAATACTAAGCCTGTTTGACTATGGTGTACTGTATGCTATGTTCACAACTGGGAATGATGCTCACTCGCAATACATGAAACAGAGAAGCATACTTAACAAAAAATCAGTCCTCACACTAAAACAAACAGATAAGTGATAAACACCACACAATGGCAGCCATATTATGGTTTAATAGAGGAATGTGCCATTAATGACAACATAGTATATTAATACAAAGTCCAATAAATTTAAAAAAGTGTATTAACAGCTTCCAAGCTTCACAACTTAAGAAAGGTCCTGCAAGGTGCAACAAACAATGAACAAAAATCTTATGTGAAAATATTTGATATAAAAAATTCAAACACTGCAGTGATATGAACAAGAAGTACTATGTAACAAGTGAAATAAAAAATATCTATAATAATAATAACACTGAGCCAATGAGCAAGACTCATGCCAAACTCACTTGGTTCCTAGACTGCGAGCTTTGCGGTGAGTCGGGACAAATTTCCCCTGCTGGCCGTGAGTGGGGCAGGAATGTGTGGGTGGTGGAGCTGGAGGTCTTCCTACACCCATGCGTGCAGATGGGGAAACATTAAGAGAGCTGATACCACCAGCAGCATCAGCGACACTGTCTTTACTAGCGCTGTGACTGCTGCTGGGGGTGTTAGGCTCCAGCTGAAGGGACAACCTGCAATGATGTGGAGCAGTGGTTAAACATCCACCATAACACAGAAGGTGGATGCTGATGGTAGTTTTGTACCTACTATGTTGATGGTTTTTGTGGTTTTGGGCTACAGTACCTGTTCTATTCACTGTTATTGGGAAGAGTGAGTGAGTGAGTGAGTGAGTGAGTGAGTGAGTGAGTGAGTGAGTGAGTGAGTGAGTGTGTGTGTGTGTGTGTGTGTAGACAGTCATATATAGAAAGACAGAAGTAGTACTGTATATTAATAAACTATTAAAATTATCATAAAACACTAAACAGGACATGATGATGACTGCAATACCCACTACTGTATTTTACGGCATATAAGATGCACTTTTTTTTATCTGAAAATGGTTTTAAAAAATATCAGCCTGTGCCCTATATGTGTGAAGATGCGGTCTCCCGTAAGCTAATGAATCCCCCAGTTGTTGTCTCCAGTAAGCTAATTTCTACCTAACCCAACTCCAGAATTAAAAATATGTTATTGCTTTAACACATTATTATTATTTTTAATAAACTAAAAAACAATATTAAATATAAAAGCTGGATTTATAACTACAGTACTTTACTGATGATGATAATCTGGCACGATCAACGTCTTCAAAGCTAGCTAAGCAGAAACCATTTCTGAACTCTTACAAGCATTGCAATCTGTTAATGCCATATTTACAAAATTTATTTTTAAATCTAGAAAATACCTGACACAAATGAAGATTTACAAATAACTTTCTTTTCACACTTGCATCTGTTAACATCATTGGCAGCCTTGTAGCCAGGTTAGACTCATCACCGTAACCTCCAGGCTAGTGGGCCAAGCTGTGAGGTGTTATGGTTGCTTTTCAACTCGTATTTTCGGATAGATATACGTAACTTTCTTCCTTAATGTTTACTCAGTTACATGCACACACCATCCTACATACATATTATGAAAAAAGTAATTGTCCTATGGGCAAACACATAAAGGGAACATACATTTCTTTACACAAGAGTTAGCTGGCTCAGTGAGGGAGGGGAGGTGGTGAGGCATGTGGGGGGGGTGTTGTTAGGGAATTGGCGGAGGTAGTGTCTGCGTTGGTATGGTGACAGTGTTAAACTTTCATTTGGCTTTTATTTACTGGTTTGGCAATACATTATTTTTTGTTGTAACTTATTTGTTTTTTTCTCACATTTACTGGTACTGTATTTCCTAAATACTCCCTGCTGAAATGGGGCATGTGTCTTATATGGTTATATGTCTTATATGCTGTAAAATACGGTACAGTACTTATCAACTGTGCAATATCCCAATTGGCAGGACACCACACCCAATAGTAAAGTGATACTTATAGATCCAAAGGCCTTGAAATAATAACCACCAGAAAGTATATATGGTACAGTCGGGGTCAAAAGTTCGCTCCCTCCCAAAATGTAGCAGCATCAACCCCAAACAAAATACAGTGATCCCTCGATTAAAGAATTACCTTCCATAAGAATCTTCAACTCGATTAACGAACAAATATTCGGTTAACGAAATCCTTACAAAATCATGTCAACATGTTTTCGCCTGCTCACCAGCTGGAGTATTAGTCCACCAATACAGTAATCGGTTTTAGGGCTTAAATTCGTTACCATTTGAGTACATACAGTAGTAGGCAGCTACCAAACAGGGAGATACTACTGCCTGGGAAGATATTGGAAGCATAACGTGTTGTCTAATTGTAGACTCTGCTACCATATGGCATCACAAAAATTGTGACCAAGTCCCAGGTTGTTGATCTGACTTTTGCCTCATTTACACACAATTGCAGGGTCTCAATTGTTTCTCTTACTTTGACGACACAACATACATATATTGTTTCTCACTCTTGATTTTTTTTTTCATTTGTACAGTAATACCCCGATTTACTCGGTCAATTAAACCCGCAGACCTAAAATGAGAAAAGCGTAAATGGTATAACAGAACATATGGGATTAATTGAAATAGAGACTGGGCCGACTCCCAAACTCCACTTTTTCCGACACAAAACCGATACAATACCTATGTTGTAGTAAAAATAACATCTTAATTTTATGATGGTATGCCCACACAATTAATATTTAAGAAAAATACAGTCTCCAGGTTAATGTCCATTCAAATAATGGACTCAACTCCCCCTCTTCCCACGCTCGCTGGCTCCTCCCTCTCTGAGAAATGTTTGGGTGAAAACACAAGATTTTAAGGTATAGTAATAAATAATACCTCAGACTAAAGTTAGGATAATATAATTGACATTGCTGGATTCCTTGCAAGACCAGGAATATTTTGCACAAAAGATAACATATTTGCTCTGTGTAAACAAAATTCTTACATTAAACCTAAAATTTGAATGTCTAATGCAAAATCCATGATGTTTATATTTAAAATGATCATCATACAGGTTGTACCTCTCTAGTCCGGCATTATGTGGTCCGGAAACTCCCGTGGTCCGGAACGATTTTAGTTTGTCCAATAGGTAGATAGGCAGCTTCTTTTTTTTTTTTTACTTATCTGAATTATTATTATTATTACAGGAGTATTAAATTTTTGCCCCTCAGGCCCCAATGTGGGTCAGTGACCTATGCCCGGGTGGGCTAATCCCCGTAAAAAAAAAAAAAACAACAAAGCCGCGGGAAATTAAGGTTTGTTTACATCCGGCAGTTCGGCTGCTCTCTCTCTCTCTCTCTGCTTGTCTATACAGAGTACAACATTTAACCCTTCAATATATATGAGCAGTAAATAAGTGTTGCTTTCATATTCTTATGTAGAGTAATGACGATATGTTTTCACATGTGCGCACTTACATACGCGCAGTCTCACTTTTTTTTTACCATTAATGGTTAGCTACTTATATTGTTCCATTTATTAACATTAAATAACATTACAGGTACTTCAAACAACCATATTAATTTTTTTACATTAATTTTACTACAGCTACAATCAGGGCCTTATTTTCTTCAGTTTTATATGTAGAACCAATCAGTCACTGGTTTTGTAAGCTTTAACAAAAACAATGCCGGCAGCCGTCTCGTCTCCTAGTGTGTTTTAATATTCCACGTATTATTAATAAATTGTATTGTTAATTTTGCACACACAAACATTAATTTAATAAAAACAAATTCAGAAACATTAATTAAAATATATATGAACAGTAAATAAGTGTTGCTTTCATATTCTTATGTAAAGTAATGATGATATGTTTTCACGTGTGCGCACTTACATACGCGATCTCTCTTTTTTCTTTACCATTATCGTTAGCTACTTCTATTGTTCCATTTATTAACATTAAATAAAATTACTTAAAACAACCATATTAATTTTACTACAGCTACAACCAGGGTCTTATTTTCTTCAGTTTTATATGTAGAACCAATCAGTCACTGGTTTTGTAATCAACGAAAACAATGCTGTGTCATTTCCTCGTGTTTTAATATTCGACGTATTATTAATGAATTGTATTGCTCATTTTGCACACACAAACATTAATTCAATCAAAAAGACTTTCAGTAATAAACAATAATGAATCTTTTGTACATAAGAGAAATGACGCTGTTTACAGGAGTATGCACGTCGTCTGAACGTTGGTGGGCCGTTCAAACCCGTCGAAATTCGAGTTTCCGCCGTCAAAATTTTTAAACGTGTTTTTTTGTGTGTTCAAATAGAAAACGTCGAATTAAAAACTCGCGAAATTTGAGAAGCTACTGTACGACATTTAACTCATCAATATGTCTTCAAAGAGACCATGAAGCAGAGAAAGTGGTGCTAGTGCTTCCAAGCGTAATCACAAGTCACTAACTATCCAGGAAAAGGGTGAATTTCCATGGTCCGGAAATTTCCATGGTCCGGCACCGGTCAGGTCCCGAAGTTGCCGGACTAGAGAGGTACAACCTGTATTGTAAGAATTCCAGCAATGTAAATTATATTCTGGCCGGGTAATTTGTATGAATTTTATGAGCTAAAACAAATATCTTCAGTAAATAAAAATTCTTTACTTCACCCAGACACTATCTGTCAATCAAAATACCCCACCACCAGCTTCCCCCCTCCCTCCCTCCCTATCCCCCACCTTCCCTCCCTACCAGAGAAATGTTTGGGTTAAAACAGTATATTTACATTTTTAGTAATAAATAATACCTCAGACTAAAGCTAGGATAATATAATTGACATTGCTGGATTCCTTGCAAGACCAGGATAATTTTGAATATATACATCATATATTTTGCACAAAAGAAAACATATTTGCTCTGTGTAAACAAAATTCTTACATTAGATCTAAAATTTGTATGTCTAATGCAAAATCCATGATGTTCATATTTAAAATGATCATCATATTGTAAGAATTCCAACAATGTAAATTATATTCTGGCCAGGTAATTTGTATGAATTTTATGAGCTAAATAAAAAAATTATACTTCACCCGCGTATATGAGTAGATGCACCGCGTAAATTGGGCATTCCGGTTCTGGCGGGGACTGCGTAAATGTGGGCACGCGTAAACGAGAACTGCGTAAACCGAGGTATTACTGTATATTTGTTTATGGTTCTTTATTATTATTTTTATTATTATTATTAATTCTGGTATTATATTGTTGTTGTTATTATTATTATTACAGTAAACCCCCGCTTTACGCGGTTTCACTTAACGCATTTCCACGTTTACGCGGTACCCTGCCGAAACCGGAATGCTCACTTTCCGCGGTGTGTGTACCCTTTTACGCGGAGAGCGGCGCGAGCAGGGTGCACACAAGGTCGCCCAGTCATCAAAACATTACCGAGTTCTTCACCCGCCACCCACCACAGCCGGCCCAAGTCAGTGACAGTGATAATTATAGTGAGGATATGGACTTATATGGACTTTGAGGGGTTTGACAAAGAGGCCCTGCAAGCCTCTGTGGTGGATAGTGATACAATTGATACAAGTGATACAGGTGAGGGCCAATAATCTGCCTTCTGCCTCGGAACCAACCGCCCATCCCCGTGTGCCCAGCCATGTTTTCTACTAATGTAAGTGTTAAAAAACCTAATATTATTGATATTTCTCTTAATTATTAATTGTGTGCGCATACCATCATAAAATTAAGATGTTATTTTTACTACAACGTAGGTATTGTGTCTGAAAAAGTGGAGTTTGGGGGTCGGCCCGGTCTCTATTTCAATTAATCCCATATGTTATGTTGTTCACTTGACGCGTTTCTCACTTTACGCAAGCCGCCGTGGGTTCAAGTGACCGCGTAAAGCAAGGGTTCACTCTATTATTATTATTGTTATTATTTTTGTTATTGTTGTTTTTATTATTATTATTATTATTATTATTATTATTATTACATTTTCGCCCCCTAGGCCCCGATGTGGGTCAGTGACCTGTGGGCTAATCCCCGTTAAAAAAAAAAAAAAAAAAGTACTAATTAATAATTTTAAAAGTTTTATATTAAATTTTTTAGTCATTTTAACAATTATTGAACATAATTGAAGCACAGGAAACTAGTTTTTAGCACGTCAAACAGCCACTTGACTCACCCAGCAGGCGTCAGTTTGTGTCTCTGCTCAGTGGAGGTAACATCTTGCTTGAGACTCTTGAACATAAACTATTTTTATGTTTTTACAATACAATTATTGGTCATTCTGAAATTTATTTTACATATTGACAATATATAGTGCAGTGCAGTGTTGATTTAAAGAAAATAATCTTGAATTACACCAAGTGAACTTAAAATTCTATGGGTAAAATGGCAGCAGGAAACATGGGGTGATTTCTCTTCCACCACCACTGCCTTCTCTTCTCCCTTCTCCTCCACCCCCACTTTTAATTCCCATCATCATCATCATCAACCAGGAGCCTTCTACATGCACACCTCAAAGTAAGTGTGCTTTACTGCATTTATTTTTAGTTTGTATGTAATTTTCGGTGAGCTGGAACCAATTACCCAAAATCCCATTGAAACAATGGTTTCGGTTAACGAACGACCTTCTGGAACGAATTGTGTTCGTTAAACGAGGGACCACTACAACAGTTAAGGCAAGTCAGTTCGGAGACTCATTCCCATGACTCAGTTTCACCACAGGGAGCAAACTTTGTCCGTGATTGTACATCGTAGTCAATTCAACCTGTTCCTTGAGTTAGGAAGTTAGTAATGTTCACAAGTCATCACATTTCAAGAATTTATTTTTTAAATTTCCCTTGGGTTTATTTTGATCACAGATGCCTCATCACAAAACAACATCTTGCACTCTTATGATGCCAGCAACACACTCAGAAGGGAATACTTCGTTAGTCACACATTTGACAAGATACCCAGTAATGCACTCACCACATATTTTATATTCCTGACATAACTACAAAGTAAAAACTGAATGGAATTTAATGCAATAAATTAATATTAAAATCAGATCCATCCACGTGAAGTCTTATCTCAGGCCCAGACCAAACCTGTGTTCAGTAACTGTGTGAAAACCGAGTGTTTTCGTGGAGCATCACATAACCCTCTTTTTTTTTTCTTTTACAGGATTAGCCCACCCTGGCACAGGTCACCAACCCACATTGGGGTCTGGGGTGGCAAAAATGTTGTGGTAGTAATAATAATAATAATAATAATTCATAGTAAATAAAATTTACACAAATAAAAAATACAAAAAAATAAAATAAAATATTAATGATAACAATAATTACAATAACAATAATAATAATAATAATAATAATAATAATAATAATAATAATAATAATAATAATAATAATAATAATAATAATAATAATAATAACAAAATAATAATAATAATAATAATAATAAAATAATAATAATAAAATAATAATAATAATAATAATAATAATAAAATAATAATAATAAAATAATAATAATACAATAATAATAATACAGTAATAAAATAATAATAATAATAATAATAATAATAATAATAATAATAAAATAATAATAATAATACAGTAATAAAATAATAATAGTAATAAATACAAGAATGAAAAAAAGATCAAAAGTGAGAAACATGACCTAGACCTATGAATTATTGTTATTATTACATTTTAGGCCCACAGCCACCCCCAAAAAAATAAATAAAAAATTGTCAACCTGTATGTACAATAAGACTCAAGTTAATATATGTACACCATTTACCCATAAGCAGAACTTACCATGACTATATCCCCCCTGGAAGAGAAGACACCATACATGGCTACACCAAGATACCATACTAATACTAATACCTGAAAACAACTCTCTAGGAAACCAACACTGCATCCTCTTAACACCTGCTGAAAATTTGATTTAATTTCAGAAGACTGTCCACAAAAGCCTATCACTTTGGCTATAAAAAGAAAAGTTATAGTACTAATTTTCTCATCCTGCAGAATGTTAATTAAACCTTTCCACATACTGTATGTACTATCTACAGCATATACAGGGGTCCCCAGGTTGCCAACGAGTTCTGTTCCTGAGGACATTCTTAAGTCGGAACACATATCCTATGTGCACTATCCCAAAGTCTAAACCCTTTTATACTTCTTGAATTACTTAATTCAAGAGAAAAAAAGAAATTGAATGAGAAAATACAGTAAAGGAAAGTAAAAATTAATGTTCGACACTTAGTGAAACCTGCGGCTGGCTGATCTTCCAACCATATCACTAACAATCTTTCTATTTCAATTAACAATTCACTTCTTTGTTTTGTTATCACAGTTGAGTGCATTGGTGTAGATCCTGTTACATGTTCAAGAATATTGTGTTTGTCTTTCAAAATTGTTCCGACCGTTGACCGACTGAAGCCCAACGCTTTATCAATGACCGAGGGTATTTCGCCTTTTTCAGAACGTTTATTTACATCAACTTTCACTTCCATTGTAATTGTTTTCCTTTTCTTGGATGCACTACTATCACTTGCATCAGGTTTGCATTTGGGAGCCATGATGAGGGCAGAAAAATAAGAGTTAATAAGCAAAACACAACAGCTTGCACTTGATCACACATGTTACTGAGGCGAGGGTAAGGTGTACTGATGCTCCCTCAAGGCATGAGGCTGGGTGACGCATTACTCCTCACCCGCATTACTGCCTTGCCGCTATGCCACACAAACTAATTCTCGTACGTTAATACTACGAATCAATTGTACCTTTGTCGGATTCTTAAAATAATTGACCTTATGGAACCTCATTCGTATCGGTGGGTGTTCGTAAGTCGGACGTTCGTAACTCAGGGACCCCCTGTACCAGCCAATACAATTCTTATCTAACATTATCAGTGCAGTTTCTCACAATTTGTGGGGTAGCAATCCTGGATAAAGGTTAACTTAGCTGGGTAACCAAGATAATGAACACTATGACAAAAATACTTTTAAATACAAATCAGTTAGAGACTAGCTTGATTGTTAACTTAAGTATCACAGCAGGTTATCATACAAGGTAAGAAACAAGTATAAAAGTCTTTGTAAATAGAAACTATCTCACAGGTAACATACTTGTAGTGATCATCTTCTACAAACTTCTGCAGCTCCTCGATGTATCTGACAGATGCCAAGTAAGCCTGAACATGCTGCAGATGTGGGAGAGCCGAGTAGTCTGATTGCTGGTAGTCCGCTAATACCCGAAGAATGTTGTTCATCTTCAGTTGCCGTTGTTCAGACTCTAGACCCCCAAAGTGCGGGTGTGCCATGTCGATGTACACTAAATCCGTTAGGAACAAACCTGTAGCGACAAAAAAAGTGAGATACACTACTTCCTAAAGAACAGTGTCTATCATAGAAAGTATTTTGATTACAATATAACAGCAAATGAAGGAGGACCAAGTGTGTGTACAATACTTGCTCTTGTGTCTGGCCATCTTCTATTATATTTTGTGGAGAGAAGACTTGGAAGAGTGAGAATACTTTTATATCAATGATTTTCTTAAAGGTTTAATGTGTGAGCATAAAATTTACCACAAATACAAGTCAATATGATAATCAGCCCTGTAATTTACAGTTAGGGATACAGATGCATGGATAACCCATCTTAAAGTTCTTAATTACCAAGGTAAGGAATCATCGGGAGCTTCAGACTGTTGACAAGACTACGAAGTTGTTCCCAGTTGTTCTTGTCACTGAAGAGCTCCGTCATCCGATCAAAATGCTGACGGTCCTTCCGGGAGAGCGCTGCCCAAGTCTTATTTAATCTGATTGAATAAAGTTAGTTGAGGTTTCATTCAATGTGTGTGTGTGTGTGAAGAAAATGAGTTTACCCAAATCTTAATAAATCCACGTGAAGAAATTATCAATACAAGTCGTAAATAATGTGTGGGAAGAAATCGAGTTAGCTAATCTACGTTTTAATCTGTGTGAAGCATTGAGTTGCACTAATTTGTTGTTGTACATTTGCTAATTACTGATTTTGTTTTAAGCAGGTATACCTTGTTGATGTTGGTCCACCCTGAATTATTATAGGAAAGGGCTTGAAGGTGTGGAAAAACAACTACTGTACACCAATGATGGACTTAAAAACTTGAGTTAAGTTTACTCCCTTCACATACAGCAAAAAATTGTAGCAACATGACACTTAATAGTGATGCCAGATAATGATGCTGTACAATACATGTATATATATTTTTTACCAATTTTTTAATCCCCTTCTTTAACTTTTCTTTTCACACACTATGGTTCATATTTTCACAACAGAAGTACAAGAGAAATTTCAAATATTTAAGACCCAGGCTCAAAAAAGTGATGAAGTAAGATCTGTACCTATATATAGGAGCAGACTGCAAGGCGCTGATGATGGCAAACTGAGAGTGAAAGTTATGGAGTTCGTTGAGCTTCTTGGCGACCTTGACGAAGTGTCCCATCATCTCTGCCCGGTGTTTAACTCCTCCAGCATTCAGAATCTCTCGCACAACCCAGAAACTCACCTAAAGATAGAAATGAACAAAATTTATATGTATGAATGAATGAATGTGTGTGTGTGTGTGTGTGTGTGTGTGTGTGTGTGTGTGTGTGCATATTTTAGTTTCTTCATCTTTTGTGAGGGGTGGATCTAGGGGTACCGAGCCATAGGGAAGAAATGACAGGAATGAGTGGTGCAATATTGGTACAGAAAGTGATTGGAAGGGTTTAACAAGAAAACTGTCATACTCTACCAATTACTCACAGGTTCATCTTACATATGCAATACACAGAATGAGTCCTCAGCCTCCACAATGATTCAATGCCATTTTATCAATTCACTGCACATACATAATTGAGTTTTTAAGCTATTCATAATTAAACAAGTATTAATCATCAATTCCCATTCATTCAACCTGGAAGCAAGAGTAAACACTGCCTCCCCTTCACTCAGTCATTTATTCACTCATACTGCTGTACCACCACATGTTCCCTTCCCACAACAAGGCCCCAAAATCTATTTGGATTTACCCCCGTTGCAGCACTCCCCTCCCATAAAATACTCAACAGACATTTATCTTCACACTTTCTTTACCTCTTATATAATAATCTACACGAGCTAATACACACAAGACCATAATTTACTCACATGGTTGAACCTGCGGGTAAACTCGACAACATTTGGAGCAGATTTTAATTTGTCTTTTTTTGTCCAGCCACAAGAGGTCAGTTCTTCTGGGGTTATGGATCTGTAAGACAACAAGTGATAAATACAATACTGTACTACGATGATTTATGGCCACTGAGAACCATTATTCCTCTCCCATGAGCAACACAGACTCTTTGTTTACTATCAAATGGTTACTTCTGTAACAGCCCTAGTTTATACAGGGTGGTCCAATTAAAGTGAACCATGTTGAAAATGAGATAAAAACTCATGAAATGGACAAAATCTGTATTTAAGCAGTTTGCAAGTTTCTGAAACCTTTGGAAACAATAGTTATTAATGTTTGAAAGTTCTGTCATCCAAATGTGCACCCCTATTTGCAATACACTGTTGCAGTCGTTGGCAAAAATTGTGCATGACTCTACGAAGCACACCTGGAGAAGTGGCAAAAACCTCTAGGTGAATTCTGGCCTTCAGGTCATCAATATCGTGGAATCGATGAGAGTACACCTTCTGTTTCAGAATCCAAGGCCACACGCCACCAGCTGCCATCCCGCTTCCTCCTCCCACTCAAACCCCTACCCAGTGTTGCCAACCTAAAACTGGTTCACTTTAATTGGACGACCCTATACAATCAATTTCCTTTCTTTTTCTGGTTTGTGTAAAATTCTGTTTATTCAGTAAATATCATATGTAAAGAACCTATCATCTTCATACTCTGCTGCCTTCACCCATCCTTCCATCTCCTGCTTGGTCTTTCACAAACTCTCCTACCATTTACCTGACAAAAAAAACTATCAAATAAGATTGAATGTCTCTACACAACACAGGAAATCCTCTATTTACTTTGTTCCTAATTACAGTGTTTCACTTAAGACAAGCATTAAAGGTTACAATTTAGGACCAGTGTAAAAAGAAGAAATACTTCACCTATGAACATTTAAACTCTCCTTACTTAAAAACTGGGAAGTCCATGCGTGTTATCTGTGTTGCAAGATCTTCTGGCACTACACGTAAGAGATCCAAGACTGGCGGGTTATCTGTATCTTTCCCTCTCGCTGGTAAACTGGCGGATTTATGGCTGTGAATTCTGGGGAGAGTTCTGAAATATATTTTAAAATGTTATACTGTACAGTAGTTACAGCAAACTGACAAGATGAAAATATTACTTCTCATGCACGCACACACACAGACACACACTACTATTACTACTACTACTACTTTGCTGTCACTCAGAGTCTAGGATGACGATCATCCAGCTATGATACAATGATATGAGCTATTAGGGATGTCACCTAGGTTGGTGAGTTTTGAGGCGACTAAAGAGGCCGATACAGGTCCTGCAGGGTCTTTCACTTTGTTGCACATGTGGAGGGCTCCATCTACTGCGGAAAAACACTGCCACCGTGTTTTTCCGGCGTTGGTGCTTGTCTGCCTCGGTTTGCAGTTGGGCTAACTCGAAAGCATTGACACTTCGTGCGGTGCTCCTCCAAGCGTTATCATGTGGAATACTAGAATCCAAGGTGAGGGGGTCGATATGGCACTTTTTCAGGCTTGTCTTAAGACTATTCTTATACCTTTTTAATTGCCGGCCGGTGTTACGTTTACTATTCGTTAGCTGACTGTAAAGTAGTTGCTTTGGCAGTATACTGTCGTCCATGCAGGTAACATGGCCAGTCCAACATAGTTGTTCATGGATAATGGTAGCCTCGACGCTCCTACAGTTGGTGTCAGCAAAAATACTGGCGTTTATTCTCTTGTCTTCCCAGCGAACTCGGAGGATGGAACGTAGACTACGTTAGTGAAAGTTTTCAAGTGCCTTGAGGTGCCTCCTGTATGTGACCCATGTCTCACTGCCATATGGTAGGGTGGGGAGGACCACTGCTCGATATACGTACAGCTTTGTAGATAATTTCAGCTCCCTACAGCTGTAGACACAATTTCGGAGTCTGACAAAGGCTTGAGATGCACATATGATCCGATGCTGAATCTCTTCATCGATGTCTGCAGTGGTGGACAGGTGGGAGCCGAGATACCTAAAGTAGGTAACATTAGAGAGGGTAGTACCGTTCAGCTGGATAGATAGTGAAGGTGTGTCTGAACCAGGGGCAGGTTGAAAAAGAATCTGAGTCTTACGTACATTCACCTCAAGGCCGAAGTGTGCATATGCATCTGCGTAGGTGTTCAGGATCTCCTGTAGGTCGTGTTCAGTGTGAGCAACAAGGGTGAGGTCGTCTGCATACTGAAGTTCAGTAATGGAAGCTGCCGACACCTTTGTTCTTGCCTGGAGTCGTCTTATGTTGAAAAGACCCCCCTTCACCCGGTACTCGATGTTCACCCCGCTGACTAAATTGGCACTGGCACGAGAAAGGAAGGCAGTCAAGAAGGTGGAGAAGAGAGTTAATACCAGTACACACCCTTGTTTAGCCCCCGTTTGGAGGGGAAGAACTCAGACTGGGTGCCATTGTGCAGGACACTGCCGTTCATGCCATCATGGAGTTGCCTCACATTGGCGATGAATTTTGGTGGGCAGCCAAAACGGATGAGAGTCCACCAGAGGGCTTCCCTGTTGTCTGAGTTAGGTCGATGAAAGCCATGTACAGGTCACAACGCTGTTCTCTGTACTTTTCCTATATCTGGCGGGCAGCAAAGATCATGTCAGTAGTGCCATGTGATGGTCTAAAACCACATTGAGATTCTGGGAGGAAGTTTTCCGCCTCAGGAAGAAGTCTATTTAGGACTCGAGCGATAATCTTGCCAGTTATGGAGAGCAGCGAGATCCCACTGTAGTTGCCACAGTCTGACCGGTTTCCCTTGTTCTTATAAATATTGACAATGAAGGCGCCTTTAAGAGCTTGGAGAATTTCCTCCTTTTCCCATATATTCTCCAGGAGAGAGTGGAGATGGCTGGTAAGCAGAGGTCCTCCTGCTTTATACACCTTGGCTGGGATTCCATCAGGCCCTTAGGCTTTGTTATTTTTCATCTGTTTGATGGCAGTAGCAACCTCATCCAGGGATGAAGGATAGCTGAGGTGGGTCAGCTCTGGATGCCGAGGGACCTGCTGGGTTGTCAGGACATCCACATCGGTGTTTCAGTTGAGCAATGAATGGTAGTGCTCTTTCCAGCACTTAAGGAGGCCTTCATCGTCTTTATTTATGAGGTTACCGTCAGGTGAGTGGAGGAGGGCTGCGCCACGAGTGACTGGCCCATAAAATATTTTAGTGGAAATGAAAAATTCGCACATCTTGTGCTGATCTGCAAGTTTTTGTGCTTCACATGCTTTATTTTTATGCCAGTCGTTCTTTAGCTTGCCAAGTTCCCGCTGGGCTGCCGCTTTCTTTTTGGGGAAGGTTATCAGCTTTGGTCCGAGACTGAGGGTTGTTCTGCCAGTCAGTAAAAGCAGCACATTTATCATCAATGAGTACTTTGATTGCCCTGTCATTTTCATCAAACCAGTCCTGGTGTATTATTTTGATCTGGCCGAGGGTCTCTGCAGGTTTTTGTCATAACAGTATTAAGAGTATTCCGTTTGGCACTGGGATTCACGTTGTTTGCTGTTGGGTTGTTTATAAGCCCATGTTTGAGCTGCTCTCTGAAAGCATGTGGTACCGCTGGATCCTCCAGACTCTTAGTATTAAAACCTCTTCTGGAGGCTTGCTGCCTTCGCCATTTTGGGGTGACATGAAGTGAGAGCTTGGATCTGACAAGTCAATGATCAGTGTCACAGTGTTCTGAGCCACGCTTGGCACGGGTGATGAGGACATCTCGGCAATCTCTTTTTCTGACAATGATGTAGTCAATGAGATACCAGTGTTTGGATCGTGGGTGTTGCCACGAACCCTTGAACTTGGCGGCCTGCCTAAACAAGGTATTGGTGATAGTGAGGTTGCATGCAGCACACTTGCTGAGGAGGAGTAGGCCATTGGGATTACACTTGCCTAGTCCATTTCTCCCTATGGTTCCCTGCCAAATGTTAGCATCTCTGCCAACTCTGGCACTGAAGTCACCAAGGAGCACAACCTTGTCTTCTCTGAGGATAGAGGTTAGCACTCTGTCAAGGTCAGTGTAAAAGGCCTCCTTGATGTCATCCTCTGCATCCAGTGTTGGGGCGTATGCACTGATGAAGAAGGCATGACGTGAGTGATTCAGTGGGACTTGAAGCGTCACGAGGCGCTCATTGACCCCAATATGCATTTCAGTTAGCCTGTGTAGGATGCGTTGGTGGATGGCAAAGCCAACTCCATAAATGCGGTTTCTCTCCGCAGCAGGCTTACCCTTCCAGAAGGTGTAGCCAGACCCCCGTTCTGTGAGTTGGCCCTCATCTGGGAGCCGGGATTCGCTGATGGCTGCTATGTCGATGTTATACCTAGCCAGCTCTTTTGCCACAAGGACAGTTCTTCTTTCAGGACGCACATTTGTGCCAGTATCCAGAAGGGTCCTGACATTCCATGCAGAGACCATATGAGGTTGTATGGTTTGTTTTTGTTTGGATCTGTGATTTTGGTTGTGTTTTCGACCACATAAGAATGACCTTACTGGGTGCGGTTGCCCAGTCAGGTTGGGTTTTTAAACAGGCTATGTTTAGGGCACCTTTTCTAGCACGCACATGCACCACACCTTCCCTTATACAGCCTCAAATATACTCTACCATTCTCATGACATTTTGGTATCACAAATCAAGCTAGCGCGCACACGCACACACACACACACACACACACACACACACACACACACCACCTCCAGCTCTTCATCCTTGCCTTACCCTGTTCTCAACTTCTGCTTCCTGCTTTTCTTACTAAACACAGACCCACATGTACAAAACTCAAGTGCCCCCCCTGACAAACACTACACTGAGAATATTCCTTTTTTAGTGTAACAACTTGTTTTACTTGCATTCTCCTTTCACATCATTGAAACAATACCCCATTCACCTGCAGCTCAAATGGGTCCTAAGAACTGGATCCTAACCCCAATCATAAGTGAGGTTGAGCCTGTTGGGTCCAGGGATCATTTTACAAGTCAACTATCTCAGTATGTGATTCAGCTGTCAAAACACCATTCCATATATTAATCAATTGAAGCACTGTACAAGACACCCAGTAGATGATGGATGCTGCTGAGATACTGCCTGAGCTTGACTAAAATTAAATAAACTAAAAATTATGAATTACAATATTGTACAGTACTGCAATAGAAAACATACTGTATGGCAAATGATATCTTATATTTCTGTAAATGATTAAAAGAATATGTATAACTCTTCATATGTGACAGAGTAATATAAATATATGTGGCATAATGGGTATTCAGAATGCATGAAGAAAATTCACAAAGTACTGTAACTGGACATTCTTGTATGACTTGTTTTATCTTGTGCTCTGGGATATACTTCACATAAATGTACAGTCCACTTCACTAGTGCATTTACAGAGGATTGTCAGGTTTTGTGCAGTGTGGCAGCCGTGTTTGTTTACATTCAACAGAAGGAAACTCACCATAGTAAACATACTATGGAATAAAATTAAAACAATATTAAAACAAATACAGCACCTCAAAGATAATGATATGTGGAATGTTTATATGACAAACCCATGTAAATGCACTAGTGAAGGAGACTGTACTTGCATAGGAAAAATGTTCCTTCAAAAGGAAATACTACTGTATAAATAAGTACAGCTACAGGTGAGGCTTCTGAAATCAACCAATACTGTACTCCGTTATTTACCCACTTACCTGTGTCACAGGTACAGTAGTAGATGAACTGTAAGGCCTTAAGCTGCAAAGACTTAGCTGTGCTTGAACAGTATCTTTTGATTATTAATTACAGGTACATGCTCCTCCTGATATAAAACATTTGGAAGCCCTACACTACTTACCCGTAACTATACGCAGCTTTTGTTAGTGCCTTCATGCTGTCGGGTGAATCGTAGTTGGTCTCTTGGACTACCTTGCGGTAGACAGAAGAAGGGGGAGAAGTACCTCGTGCACACATTGGCATTGCCATACCCCTCCCACCCCCACAACCACTGCTGCGCTCCTCTTCATCATCGCTGTCCATCACACTCTGAAATAGGTACAGTACACATTTCAATTCCTAACTTTCATAAGTTGGAAAAAATCCATCAGGCTAAATTGCACAAGTACCCAATATAATAGGATTTATATTTTCATGCAAATACAGTAAAAGTTCATGCATTCAGTTCTTATGAATGAGTGTAATGTAATAAATAAATAAATAAATTCCATGAATGGCACAACACACCCATAATACTTTGTGTTTAATAGTCGAACCAAAGAGTATAACTCAACAGCATAAGGTACTGTCACTCTCAACACAATATTAAACTTTTATTTAGTAAAATATATTTATACAAAATACAAAGTCAATATCAATGGAACATCCTGTTCCAAAGACAATACAAATAACTTAATAAATAGGATGAATGGATAAAAAGTGCATTAATACATCCCATAAAATTGGCTCACCAAAATGCTCAACTTTTTTATGACTATCTACAGTTTGAACCAAGAGGAGGCCAATGTAGGTGATATGAACAGCTCATGTGCTGCAGCTTGAATGTAAGGTTAATAAATATGCTCAATCAGCTTTCAATTATCAAGTGCACGAATGTCATGCGAATGATACATCAAGTAGAAGTGTGGTAAGTAAGAGGTAGTACGAGATATTTCTTGTAGCTATATCTGTGTATACAGTATCTTATACACAGAGTAAAAGGAATATTTTATGAGAAATACAAATATAATTGATGAATTTCTTGCTCCATACCAAAAGAAAAATAAGCAAACCATCTAAGTAGCTCTCCATACAATACAACAATGAATAAAGAATAAAAGGTAGACGACTCAAGAAAATAAAGTGGATCAAGGTCGTCACAGTCAGACACCTTCACATGAGCACCCTGTAGTGCTGAGGTCTTGTCCTACTGTGTGAAAGCTGTGCCTCTTAGTGATCGAATGATATCAATTTGTAATCAGTGACTTGGTTAACTCAGCTTATGGGTCATAATCAGTGACTGATATGCACTAGCCACAAGCAACAACAAAGGTGTGATACACGTAATCAGAGAATAAAAATGATATAGAGTTTTGGAGGCAATAAATACAAGTACAGTTTTCATTTTAATCAACAGACCTGATCCCTTTCTCAAAACAAATACATTAACTTTAATCAATAAATCAAATTTATTTCTCAAAACCTTAGGCCTAATAACAATCCCTGACAAAGTAGTCATCTATGAATCAAATGACCTTTGAAAAATAAAATATATAGCCATGATGTATCATTGAATTATATTATTTCTTAAAACAAATAGTATACATGTAGATGTATAAAAAAATCCCCTAAAAGATACAGTATCCACATCATTGAATAATAATAATAAAGCCCATGAGTAGATCTGTACACACTATAAGAGAAAAATACAAGGCAGGTTGACAAAACATTTACCCCCGTGTCCGGTCCTCATCCAGGGACAAACACAACACTTATCTTAAATTGGTCTCAATATATCTACTGAAGATGAACTATAAAGCCATGAAGTTCATCCTGAGTGAAATATGTTTTAAGAGATACTACTGTACAGTATTTCTCTCAGTCAGGATTATGGAAAGAATAGTGAAACACGAGACCAACAAAGAAATGGTGGGAGGAGCGATGTTGGAAAGTAATATGAAAAGGACTACTGTATACTAAACTACTCTACTTTTCAGATGACACAAACCAACCCAGTTTAAACAAACAAATACTGGTAGGTTAAATTGTGGTTTGGTTAGACTATTTTTGTTCACAGTGTCTGCTTATAAAAACACTGTACTCCTGTTCATGGTAGTTTTCCAATACTGTACTTGTGGTACAGTACTGTTTTAGGGTTGATACCTACAAAGATGATGATCCCATCTATACCTTCATTATCTTTACCGAGAGCAGCTGAAAACTGATTAGTTTAATATACAGTACCATAAATACACCAATAGAACATAAATTTAAGAAACAAAGTGTAAAAAAAATTACTTCTAAAAACATAATACAGGTACAGCATAACAACTTATATCAGTACAGTGCAATACATGTGTAGCTACTGTACAAAACAAAATATTGCACTGTACAGACACACACCTGTCAGTTTAGCAGCTTATTTCTCCTTTGAATGCTCAATTTACATTAAAGTTTCCTCCATTGAAAAACAGATGTGAGGTGTTTTATTATGTAGGTACTTCAAGAGATATTCATGGTTAATCAAATGAAGAACTACAATGAATAGGATTCTTTCAAAGGCCTTTTAATTCTCTGAGCACATTCATACCAAATTACAGCCATGTGGCACACTCCCTCAAGCCAGGGAGACAAGAATGCGTTCCCAATGCCTATCAATTGATGGTTCAAGCTTCAAAGGGTCACTAATCTGAAATCCATTGGTATGATAATGGAACCTTTCTAACAAAGACCCTCTTGGTTAAGTGGCTTCTCATAATTTTCAGATTAACAACTTTGAACAAATCAAGTGTTGAATGAAGGGGATTTCAGAATATAAATTGAAGGCTACCCTCCAGAACATGACTTTTAAGCATCTCTTACTTTTTCACAAGGTTCACTATTCTTCCTTAAACTGATCTTAACTGAGTTGTTACCAGTACAGCACTGTACAAGAAAAACCACTCCAGGGATTTTTGTGTCTTGGCAGTGGCCAAGACAACACAAGCCCTCAGATGTTCACATTGTTATGGCATGTACTGTACAACTCTCAAACTGATTTAGAGGATGATGACTTTATATCCCAGAAAAATGGTAGATTTTGCTGGTTCTATAACCACTGTGATGCTGAGGCAACAAACCTCCTCACTAAGTCAAAATTTTTCCTCATTAGATCCAGGGAATGATCTAGGGCTGGTATGAAAATAAAAGCCTATGGTCATAACAAGACTCGACAATCAGCTGGTCCTCATGATAAACCCAAATGTAGGCACTGTCACTGATGGAACGAAGTTTGCTCCGGTTAACATCAACATTGAAGAAGCACTGCTCCATTCTTGTGGACGGCTGTAAATGAAGATGAAGCAGTAGTTTGTTTTCCTGAGGATCCCAAATTTGCTGCTTACGAGTTCAAAAAATTATGTCTGCAATGACTATGATTGGAATTCCCATCTCATTCTTCAACAACTTGTCTTGTCTATCAGATCATTTCCAACACCCTGCAGTTAGAGGACTGGCATCTGAATATGCCTGGTTGAAATGTGAAGTATAATAGGGGTCAGTCTTAGGACAATAATGTTTACACTTACATTTGTGGTCTCAAATGCCTCTGTCTGAAGCGCAGAGGAAACACTACAAATTATTAATTGAAGTGATAAGTGTTACTTGACTTTATTTATATAACAATCGTAAATATGCATATTTTGTCAGCACACGATCTCAATCCGCGCAGACTGTACAGTGGTCCCTCGGTTAACGAACACAATTCGTTACACAGTCGTTCGTTAACTGAAAATTTCATTAACCGAATCTATTATTTCAATGGGATATTGGATAATTGGTTCCAACTCAAAGAAAAAGTACATACAGGTTGACAAACCTTTATCCAAAATTCCGAAAACCGAAAAACTCTGAAAACCGAAAGTTTTTTTGTGGAGCAGTTCTTTTTTTTTAAACAGAGATTAGCTCACCCGGCATAGATCACTGACCCACATAGGGGTCGAAAATTATAATAATAATAATAATTATTCATAGTAAATAAAAATTTAATAAAAATACACCAAAATAAAAATAAAAAATAATAATAATAATAATAATAATAAGAAAATATAATAAAATTAATAATAATAATAATAACAATAATACTGTATTAATAAAATAATAATAATAATAATAATAATAATAATAATAATAATAATAATAATAATAAAAATAATAATAATAATAATAATAATAATAATAAAGAAATACAAGAATGAAAAAAGATAAAAAGTGAGAAACACGACCTAGACCTATGAATTATTATTATTAATATAATTATTATTATATTTTCGCCTCCCAGGCCCCAATGTGGGTCAGTGACTTGTGCTTGGGTGGGCTCAAAAAAAAAAAAAAAAAAAAAAAAAAAAAAAAAAAAAAAAAAAAAAAACCTAACCATTCTCAAAACCGAAAAATTCCGAAATGCCTCTGGCCCCAAGGATTTCGGATAAGGGATTGTCAACCTGTACAAAGTACTGTATACCAGTAATAGAATTAACAAAACATTAAATATAAACTAAATACAGTACTGTACTGTACAGTATACTGTATAATAATAAATAAAAAACAATAGAATACTGTATTTTAAATTACTTTGACGTGTGTGTGTCGTATTACGTTGTACACTCCTCCATACAAATGTTTGCCGATGACGCCAAGTTATTTCGGGAAATCAAGAACCAAGCGGACTGTGAAGAGTTGCAGAATGACCTCTGTGGGCTCCAAGAATGGTCGAAGAAATGGCTGCTGAGATTCAATGTCACGAAGTGTAAGAGGATGCACCTGGGGCGTACCAACGGTAAGGAGGCGTATCATATGTCCCAACAGGATGAAGAAACTGCACTATTTGAGACTGAATGTGAGAAGGACCTAGGTGTGTATGTTGACAATGAGCTGAAGTTCTCAGGCCATTGCTAGAAGGTAAATCAGGCAAATAAATTATTGGGTCTTTTAAGAAGGGGTTGTTCAGATATCTAGACGGTCCGTCCCTCGTAACGATCTTCAAGAGTGAAGTGCTTCCCTATCTGGTGTACTGTCACCCCGTCTGGTCCCCGAGATGTGCTAGGGACTGTCAGTTGGTTGAAAATGTTCAAAAGAGGGTCACCAGACTGGTGCCTGCTCTTCAGCACCTCAGCTACCCTGAGAGATTGGAGCGCCTGAACTTGCCTAGCTTATACTCCAGACGGGCAAGGGGTGACCTAATAGAGGTGTATAAGCATCTCAAGGGGCACTACTCAGTCGAGTGTCCTAACTTGGAGTTGGCGGACGCTCGCCCCACAAGGGGTCACAGCTCAAGATATAAGAAGCCGCAAGTCCAGAAAACTGTGAGGGCAAACTTTTTCGGAGTGAGAGTTGTGAACTCTTGGAACAATCTACCAGAAAGTGTTGTAACGGCACCGAGTGTGAGCTCTTTCAAGACAAGACTTGACCAACACTGGAGCAGGTTCATGTACATTCAGGAGCCGGTGCATGCCCAGTACTTGCCAACAGTGCGTAACAGAGACGTGACCGATCGCCCAAGCGGCTAACAAGCCGATCTTTTGGTGAAGAGGATAAAAGAAAAGGAAAAGTAATCAGAGTCGTGACCGATCGCACAAGCGGCTAACGAGCCGATCAGTGGTGAAGAGGATAAAAGTAAAAGCTTTGTTTACATATCAAACAGCTGATTGTAGAGGCAGTCGATGATGACATGCCATATTCTTTACTGAGTGCATTGGTTCTAATGCCTTCTTCATGTTTCATAATGATTTATGCACTGTATATTATCAATATGTTAACTAAATTTCAGAATAACCAATAATTTTAATGTAAAAATTAAAAAATATTCAAGAGCAACAAAATCGATGTTCACTCCACTGTAAACAAAGTTAAATTGAGAAGCGTTGTTGGATGATTCAATCAGCTGATGGGCACACAAAAACTGTTCCCTGTACATGTACTGTCTTTATTATCAATATGTTAACTAAATTTCTGAATAACCAATAATTTTAATATAAAAAATGCAGAAATATTCAAGAGACCAACTATCTTGATATTTACTTCACTGGAAACGAATGTAAACATAGAACTAATTACTGTATTGGCGGACTAGCTGATCAACTGATGCACACAACAAACCGTGTTTGTCGTAACGATTTCATTAATCGAAGTTTTGTTCGTTAATCGGACTGAAAATCCTCATGGGAGCTAATTCGTTAACCAAAATTTTGTTAATTGAACCGTTCGTTAACCAAGCGTCCACTGTATTTCAGAAAACATAATGACTTGCTGGTAAAAAAATTGCTCATCATATTCAGATTTTTAATCGTATATATATACTGTACAGGATAAGGTCTCTTGAAGCTTTCAGCGGATGAGTTGCCAGATTATCTATTGAAGAAGGTCCAGTCTGTCCTGAGCATCTCATCTACTCACTTACACAGTAATTCCACTACTCCATTTCCAATCAAATTAAATTGGTTCCTAATTAAGAAATAATTAATATAAACTTCTGCTCGAGGATCTTTAAAGTAGGAAAGTTTCATGAACCAAAATACCAGTACCACAGTTGGAAAATCTTCAACCACCTATGGATACTGGCTCCAATATGACTTGCACTGAGGCAGTGAACCTAGAGTTGAGTGTGAATGTTCTTTTGTAGCTCGAGCTTTTTCCTACACAGCTCCTCATTTATACAACTGCCTACCTACAGCATATCCCTGAAGCAGCTGAACTCTGATCAAACTTTCAAAAAACAATTAAGTCCTTTCCTTTTCAACACCATAAGACCCAGATGACTGTGTACCAAATGATGACTACAAACTCGAGTGACTGCTTTTATTTTAACAGTTTTTGCTTTCACAGCTGAAAAAAATTATTATTGTGCATATCTTGTCACTAACCGGATATTGGTATATTATACATTAGCAATTTTTTTCTCCCTTTAAAAGGATCTGGAACTTTTAAGAAACAAAACAACAATTATAAACTATTATTATTATTGTCATTGCTGCTCCTTATCTCTCTATTTCTCTACCACCACTTTTCACAATGATCAGGTAACATTAATTAATAAGCCACCTTTTTATTATGAAATTTAAAGTTTTCTCTTGTAGAAATTGAGACTTGGTGAATGATGCTTACTAACCCTAACAGATGAAGCCCTGAAGACAAAAAATAAATCAGTACAGTACAGTATGGTATGGTACAGTACAGTACTATTCATTCTTTCTACAAGTTTCAAATTCTTCTCTGAGCAAATTTGTGATAACCACTTCTTTTCACTGTCATCATGCATGTGCCATGGGCAAGTCATCATTCATCCTTCTATAAACATTTCTGGATAACAAAAGCTACAACTGCTTCACTCTTATGTTCCCCATTCTAAGTACTGGTTGAACAAACACTTATTCACTTAAAACATATTTGCTTCATAAAGTAAGCAAATGATGTTGGTTTCACTACATCTGCTGACTAAGGGATCAATGATTCTTTCACACAAGTTCTCAATGGGTTGAACTGATTAAGTCAATAAAAATTGAATAAAAAGATAAATATTTTCAGAACACGCCTATGTTAAATGTTTCACTTAAATAAAAGCCAAGCAAATATACAAAAATGTTCAGGATGTACTCTGAGCTTTACTGTTCAGTTTTCAACACTTAAAGGTGCAGTATGGTCACTGATTCTGAAGTTTCCTAAATTACTTTTTTCAAATAACTTGGGATTAGAGAACATGTCTACTTATGGCAGAGTCTCAAAGTAATTTCAATATCATCCTGGTCACCACCTATGCATCGCACCTTAAACTAAACCATTGAGAAATGTTCCCACATCACCAGTTAGGAGAAAAATTAATCATAAGAAACTTTGAGAATCTGGGCAATGTTTGGTTCGCTACAACGTTTAAAGTAGTTTCTGAATGGGTCACCCTCTTTTGCATGCAGGAAAGGGGGTCTTGATATAAAATGTGATAAACAACAAAGGTATCAGAACAAACACGACAACTCAGGACCTAATAAAAAAGTGACACTGATCCACACCTACAATTACCCACCATGAATGGAAAGATGCAAAAACTTGCTTCAAAAGCATAAAAATAACATTAAGCAATAAGCTACACCACAGCTGATAACTGAGTGTGAAAAGTACAGTATACTTAAGATAATTTTCAAATGGATGGAATATTTCAGACACCTTCATTCCCACGACAAGGTACAATAGTTTGGTGGTTCATGCAACAAAGCCGTGTGTCAGACCATCAAATACAGTATCCCCAAAAAACGGAGTGACTCAAATTTATATTACAGTACACAAGCTAAGAAGCAAGAGTGGGTTCTTTACATGATATATGAATATAATTACTTTTTCTCCATATACTTTAAGAGAGGCAAATATACAAATGATGCAGGCATTCTTCTCAGCACCATTTTGTTGCTTGAAATTTTTTAAGGGGCTCCATACCTAAACGTAATCAACTTCTTGAATGGAGTTGATTGTAGAGTTGCCGACTACCTATAAAACTGTCGGAAGGAAACCGGATGTAACACATAGGAACAACAACAATTATTACAGTTATAGATTATCATACATCTTCAACCCATGCAAGAAAAACACATACAACTAATTTAAGATAATACAGCACACACTAGGCGATAAAAAATAAATATAAGCCTCCATTGATCACAAAGCAAACTAACCTCTTAAAATTCCAACAACAACCATTATGGGAATCAATATACTGCACTAAAAAAAATAAACTTTCAAAAAGATCAGCCTAATTTTTCTTATAAGAATGTATAACTCTCACATCTTACTCTAAGTGAAGAGCATTTTATATAAATTAAATCATTTTGCCTACTAAAAAGTTCAGGAACATTCTTCTATGCAACATTAACACTTTTGTTCTAACAAACTTCTACCAAAAACACACAGCATATTTTTAAGGATATACCTACAGAACTGACCTTTACTACAGTACTACTAGCTACTACAAAATCATTCCAGTGAATCATTCAAACCTGAAAATATTTAGTTTATAAAAATATTTCAAAAGGAGGGTAAATACCGAGTGTGGGGGTATCAGATAATACTGCAATTTTAATATTCTTTATGGCTGGTTTCTGTTTTCATATTGCCACTGATTTTCATACAATAAGAAAAAAAGTTAAAACAGGCATATAAATGAACTCTTTCCATTTTGGTTAAACTACTATATGTAATGAAGAAAGTTTCCTATACAGTACAAACAACATGCTATTTCCAGGTGAAGCCCGACCTAATAACTGTCACACAAAACATGTGGTAATGTGCAACAGTTTAGAAGCAGCAGCTGGAACAAACACTGTACAGTACAGTACTGTACAAACTAATCACACTTACACTTTGGAGAATGTTTATTTTTCTTGCTCCAAAACCTCTCAGAAGACTCGTCTTCCTATAATTCCTTCAATATGATCTCTTACAGTATTTTTCTGAAGAATCTACCTACCCATCTATCTAAAGTACAGTAGTGTACAGTCGGCCCACTTTTATTTTAGGCATGGTTTCACTTGCCATATATACGGTCAAGTAACTGTGATCAACAGACAATCAAGTGTTAGGTACTTAGTTCTTCCAGCCGCCCAGATTGTCACAGACAGTGATAACTTTTTACTTTTTGCATGGCTATGGTAACTTTAAAACAATACTGTACTATTATACGGCATAGCATTTTTATTTCTACTGGAGGCACGCATCTGCACACAGTATATTTGTGCACGTAACAAATTTTATTCTGGGCTGTGATATAAAAAAAAAGAGGATAACTTTAATTCAGCTTGATTATGATCTTTATTTCTTGTACAAGGTCTTAATTCACTTAGTGTACAGTATACAGTTCAGCATGGTGACCACTTGAGCCTGAGGAGTGCACCACATGTGACTCATGTACATGTCACATGAATCCCACTGCACAGAGCTCAGTGAGAAGCTGATTCAATCAAGCACCAGTGATAAGGACAAGTGCCCCAACAAACACTCATGTGTCTGGCTAAGTGTTTTTGACTGGCCAAGGAAACTGAAGACTTTTTTTGTTGAGGATCCATTTACGAAAAAGAGCTTGAAATTCAAGAGAAACTGACTGTGTACTGACTCCTTTCAAGGGAATGCACAAATATTTACAGAATATGGTCAAACAATTAACCATCACCTTTTTTTCCCCACATTTACCACCATGTTCATTCCCAAACACGATAACACTACCACAGCTGCCTCCACTACCATCGCTACCTCCACTGCATATTCTCCAGCCTCCCCAGGCTGTTCAACCTCAACTCTATCATCATATCAAATTCATCACCATTAGAGGTTAGTAGCAAATTTAAATACATACAGGTATGATTTTTTTTAAATTAATGTTTTGTTGTGTGTTTATGAACTTATTGGTGAACAAGGAAAGGTCATTTCAGGCTGAAAGTATGGAACCTAACTCCCTATTTCACACAGGCCATTGGTATTTTTTTATACAGGTCCCATTTGCACAGTGTTTCTCAGGAACATACGACCTTGTAAACTGAAAGCTGACTGTATAGTACAGTACTGTACAGTTGGTCCTCATATTACGCGGTCCCCTCATTCCGCGTTTCACCGTTAACGCGGTGCCTTGCCAGAACCTAACATTTTCACATTCAGCGGTCGTGAACCCCATTACGCGGAGAGCGGCTGGCAAGCCGCGCCATTTTTGGATCCAAACCTCCCGCCATCCGCCATGTTGTGTAAGAGGCGCGAAAATGGTGCGCACAAGGTCGCCCAGTCATCAAAACATGACCAGTTCTTCACCCGCCACCCACTACAGCCGGCCCAAGTCAGTGATAGTGATAATTATAGTGAGGATATGGACTTATATGAACTTTGGGGGGTTTGACAAAGAGGCCCTGCAAGCCTCTGTGGTGGATAGTGATACAATTGATACAAGTGATACAGGTGAGGGCCAATAATCTGCCCTCTGCCTCGGAACCAACCGCCCATCCCCGTGTGCCCAGCCATCTTTTCTACTAATGTAAGTGTTAAAAAACCTAATATTATTGATATTTCTCTTAATTATTAATTGTGTGTGCATGCCATCATAAAGTTAAGATAATATTTTTACTACAACATAGTTGTGTGTCGTCAAAAAGTGGAGTTTGGGGATCGGCCCGGACTCCATTTCAATTAATCCCATATGTTATGTTATTCACTTTACGCGTTTCTCACTTTCCGCGGTACCCTCCGGGTTACATTAACCGCGTAATATGAGGACCAACTGTACAATATTACCTTTCCTTTGCTCGCACTTTTTCATGGGTTCATATCGAAGTAAACAGAAACCTCCAGAAAGGGGAGGAATAGTACAGTATGCGATGCAAGAAAAGTGTCAAGATGAAAAGATATGGCTAACACAACATGAAAAATATTCTACACACACATCCACTTCCCCATATCATATTTGCACCTTTTCTTCATATTCAGTACTGTGAGTCCTTAATCTCCACATTAATTATACTGTACTACTTCATATCAATTAACTGTGCATACAAGTTCAGTAGGACTAGGTACAATAAATGTGGATGCATCCCATTATGACCACTTTATCAAAAATACAAGACTGCCCCACAGTCATTGGTTCAGTACCCTTCTTCTCTTTTTGGTATCATCAATGGTCAATGTTCTGAAAACATCAAGATCATCATCTTTAACTTACTTCAGTCTACACAGTTTACTGGCTACTCCATTCCTTACAAATATCTACTTCTGCATATAACCTCCACATCCTTGCAGTAATGTTCTTCTCTACCACAAGATATAAAGTAGTCCCTGTGAGAGTACAGTATGAAGCACAGTACTGTACCTGTGTCACTGTTGTCCTGTATAACTCCTTGCTGCTATCCTCCATATGAAGTAGTTTCATTTTAATCACTCAAACTAAATTTGATTTATTGAAAGTTATGTTTTTAAAACCAAGACCTAGTGAATGGTGCTTAAAATTCATCATCACTTAATGTACACTACTAAAGAAATATTTACTGTACTGTACCTACAGTTCACCTCATCCATCAAAATTGACTGTTGTACTATACAGTACTGTATCTCAATCTCAGTGTGTCTGGCTTGTGTAACAACAAAAACAGTACAGTTGTGGACAAAAGAATTCAGCAGGTAGGGAGGTGGTGTAGGAGGGTAGCATCCAGGTGGCAATGGAGTCGCCTCAAACAGTCAACATTTTATTGCATTTTTGTGGTTGTTCTGGTGTACTGAATTATTTACAGCACAATGTTAGTGTAAGTTGCACCTGCCTCATAATTAAACAAAAAAATCTATTTTTTGTGTGAAAAGAAAATCGCAGACTTTTAACCACCACCTCTATGTGACGATGCCAAGCCTCCACCTACCCTCCCATTCACCACCTCTCTCCCTGCCTGCCTGCTAAGTTCTTTTTGTCCACAACTGTACACTATATTAGTAAGTGAATCTACCACATGGGAGTCAACTAAAAACTAACACTTAACAATGATGGTCCTAAGTTTAACACAGTACACTCAATATCATCACCAGCTTCTACTCATTACTATAATCCTAAGTCCTTAATTTGAAGGTTTATTAGCCCATCCATCTATCTATTATGCTGTATCTCTATACATTTATCATTCAGTATATTAATATCACCCTCATTCCTAATTAAGTTCTTAAGTTCTTCAAATTAAATATAGAAACAAATATTGTACATGAGTATACAATACTGGGCCTGTATCTACAATATTGTATCTCCCAGTTGACTCTGTAAACTGATTTTCGAGGTTGCAAGTCCTCTCTGTAATGATACAGTATTGAAAACAAAATATCCACCATCTTGTGACGTCACACAAAGTTTCTGAAGGCCATAACTTACAGGACCTTTGGAGTTCCTGTAACGGAATAAACCCACCCAGACACAGCGAGCGTAAACAGTATGCATGCCTTCAAAGCTATAATCATCTTTATTAAAGCTGTTTTATCAGTGAATACTTCAGAAAATAGGTTTCATATAGGTACCATTTCACTAGAAAATAATATTAAAAGATAGAATCTAATCAGTTAAAGGCTCTTATAAACAACAGCTGTGCTTGTTTATGTTTTATCAGGTAAGGTGGAGTTTAATGATGAACAGTACAGTACCATATTTAAATGCTCAAGCTGTGTAATGTGAAAGGAGGTACCAAGACCCTTTGGACCCCCACGGAAGTGATGAACAAATGTTAAGACTTTATAAATTTCCTCTACTGGATATATGAAATTTTTAAGCTATACAGTATTTTTCTTTTACTCATTTACTTATGAGGCTGACCTGTACTGTATTCACCTCAACAGATAAGTTACTATTGTTAGGTATGTGATTTAGGATGTTAAAGTACGAATTTAAATTATGCTACCATTCTGTTTTGCCTTGTAAAGATTTCATGTTTTTTTTTTTTGTAAATTATTAATTTGTTTTAATATGTCTTTCTCATTCTTGGTATTCTCTCCTTCCCAATGAAATAACTGACCTATTGAAGTCGCTCTAAATCACTTAGAAACAATACGTGCATTATCATACCTTTATTATGGATCGGTATTCTCTCAGCCTGACCTAGATGTGTAGCAATGGGGGTTTATAATATTGTATAACTTATGAGGAGTTTTGAGTACCTGGGCCCTGTACAGCATATTTTTGTTTTCATAAATCAACCAAACATCACCCTGTAATGTTCTTAGAGTAAAGTCTCTGTACTGTTTCTCATTTAAATTACTACAGTATACAACTGACTCAACTGCAAGTGCTTCGTATAAACACTTCCTCAGACAACAACAAAAGCTAATTCACATTGCATAGAAGCAGATAAGATCATGAATAACCATTTTATCACAGTACACGATCATCCCACTATTTATGCTGTGGCGGACCTCATTTACACAGTGATTGTCTCATTTACCCCGTGACTAACCTCATTTATGCGGAGAGCGGCGAGGCTGTCGCAGGATACGTCTCGCGGCATCTCCAAATACCTCATCTTCGTGTAGGAAAGTGATGGTATTGTTGTCTCTGGTCCCACAGCTGCTGATGACATGACATTCCCACCAACCCTGGAAAAAACACCATCAATTACCATCAAGAAATGACACATACATCTATTACAGTACAGTATACAGTACCAATACAGTACTGTACTGTGCCTCATTTATGTTGGGTAATTGGTTAAGATTTATTGACAGGTGGACAGATATATAAATGGAACCAAATTCTTGACCACAAAATCCAAGTAAAGTAAAGTATAGTAACTGACAGGAGAGCCAAGGAAGTTAATCTTGTTGGCTTTGGTACAGTGTCATCTTGACGACTGTATGCATGTTCATCATGGTACAGCAGCCTGAATATCATGATACAGCACCCTAAATTTCATGGTACAGTACAGCACCCTATAGTATTTCCACGCTAACCTGGCCCATAAGCCACGCCCCTCTTCTATACTAATAGCGGATTGGTTCATAGAAAATTCAAACTAAATGTGTTCACAATTACCGATAAGCAAACCTGTTATTATCTAAAGTATTGTTAAATATCTGGAAAACCAAAATACAAATGATTTCAAGGCATTAGCACTTCAGAGAGGATGTTAGAAATATTTTAATATTTATTATAAAAGGTCGATATAAATACGCGCAGTCTGGGGGGAGGTAAAACGCTCAGGGGAACCAATCAGCTATTCGTAGCTATAGAATAGGGGCGTGGCTTACAGGCCAGGTTAATGTGGAAAGGGTATAAATATTATGGTATAGCAGCTTGAATATCATGGTACAGCAGCTTGAATATCATGGTACAGCAGCTTGAATAAGGAAACTAAGAGTAAGCTGCAAGCCTTGAAACCTGTCCAAATAAAATTATTAGAACAGTACTGCAATTACCACCACTAAGTACACATTATAAGTACACACCGGGCCCCTTGTAAGCTATTAAACTGGTTACTTGTACCTTTAGAAATATGTGTTGTTCAGCTAAAAATTACGTGTACATTACAGCACATCAAATTGTATATGGTAATGCCAAAGTTTAATTATACCAAGTCAACCCACTTCAAGTCGAAAATTCGTCATTCGCTGCGCATGACGTCAAATGGTCGGGGTGAAAGTCTGAGACAATGCCGCATAAATGCACCATATTTGGTTGCTTATCAAATTACAGACTACATGATATACAAGTAAATTAGATATTTTCATCGATTTCCAAAGGATGAAAAACAGAGAAAAAAGTTGATTTTATTGTGCATACAGCAAATACTGTATATGGGGTGCAACAGGAGGAAGGGCAATACTTGTGAGCCGTTGGCAAGTCTAAATTTAAATTCCTTAAACTCTAATATTCGTTCAGGAAACCGGATATGTAGAGACAAATACCTATTGGTTGCTTGAAACTGTTGTACATAGCCTAGTCATCTGTAGAGGATCTTGTGGCCATATTCATAAATTGAAAGCCTCTACAGTACACTCGTATTAACTTAATTACTGTAATAGCTTGGGGAGAGAATAATGACAATTAAAATCACTAAAAAAATTTTTTTTCACTATTTTATATAATTCTGGTATCCCCCCCCCCCCACCAGTAAACAGCTAGCCCATATGCCTATGATTACTTAATTCCTTTTCCACTGATACTGGCAGCAAAATCATTAGAGAATAAATAATAATGAAGAGAGGAAAAAGAGGATTATTAATAATAATTATAATAAATTTTTAATAACAAGAAAGATAATGTGCTAGGGGATGAGAAAATGAGGATAGCTGACAAGAATGTCTTGTGATACAGTGAGGTGGTCTCACCCGGGATAATATAGAAGTCCTCCCTTACTACCGTTTTCCTCCACAAGGCCAATCACATCACATAATTAGCTCTGCCTCCTCCGCCTGGATTAACTTGGAATAAATACTTTCGGTAATAATACACAAAATATCTATAAAATTACTTTACTCGAGTCAACAATGTACAATATATTGTATCAGAACCAAATCTAGTCAGACTTCAATTGTAAGGTAAGGTTAGTTAGTCGGCTTGGCTCGTTTTAAATGCTTATTCCTTATTTTCACTAATAATAATGTTAGGAGAATTCAGTTAAAAACTAATATTAAAGAAAACACTACCGTACATACATTCATACACGGTTACCATATTTGAACTTTCCGAACAGAGAACACACTAGAGAAGGTGTAACAGTTTCTACACATAACTAAATATAACCTATGGTGTAAATGCAAAATAATTACTGTAATTATATACTGCTACAACATTTTATATGAGCACATATAAAGTGTTAGAAAAAGAACGAGTAGAACAAAGTCCCCAGACATTTTTAGTTATTTAAAAAACCTGGAAGGACAGAAAAATGGTCCAGTAAACAGCGGTCGTATGGTAACCCTTATATTGTCTACAGATATTTTTGTATAATATTTGTAAATAAAAGATGTCACCAATGGATTACAATATCACGATGCTGTACTAGACAATCACAGAGTTCAGAACATTGCACTTAAAACAGGATGGTTAACGTTCCAGACGATTTAAAGAGGCGTAGGGTTGCTGTAGATGTCATACCCACTGACCACAGTTTACTTCTGGTCTCATCTCTCGTGAGGATAAACATTAGAGCAAAGTTTCATCAAATACCTTAAACCATGAATGAGTTTTGCTGAAGCCATTTACAACACATAACGAACCTAATCTAACCAATTTAAAATCTAAGATCATAAGGTTAGATTTGGTTTGTTCGTTTCTTTAATGGTGCTGTAATTTCGTAGAAGACACAATACAGCACATTATGATGCTCACCCAAGCTAACACACACGATACTGAACCATCACACACTAGGCACTTACAGTACACTTCATCCACTGGTAACCATACAACAATGTACTGCCCAGTACCTGTGTTAGTGTAACAGCCAGGCTTAGAAAAGCTAGTGTGACACGTGTGACAATCGATGACCTGGATCAGTATATTGGAGGCGGTGGAGCCAAGCTCTGGTATGCATACCTTCAATAATACTTGTTACCGGTCCACATGCACAACACCATGGCTGTCTGGCTCTGTCAACTTCACTATTTGCACTAATCAACATGGGAAAACATCAAGAGAGAGAGAGTCTCCTCTCTCTCTCTCTCTCTCTCTCTCTCTCTCTCTCTCTCTCTCTCTCTCTCTCTCTCTCTCTCTCTCTCTCTCTCTCTCTCTCTCTCTCTCTCTCTCTCTCTTCTCTCTCACTGGAAAATATACAAAGAACAGAAAACATTAAGAATTTGATATTTCTATGATAAGCAGTGTGTGTGTGTGTGTGTGTGTTACTGCTCTAGTAGAAAAATAAATGGATCATGCCGAGAAATGGTCAACTGTGATACGATTTAAAGACAAATGGTTGAGAGAGAGAGAGAGAGAGAGGTCGAGGGGAGAAAAAGAGGTCAGAGAGTGAAATAGGTCGAGGGGACAAACACAGGTCGAAGAGAGAAACAGGTCAATGTCGCTCGCTTGGTGGTACACGAAATTAAACCCCAAATAAACACTTTGATATGTAAGGTACAGATCATTTATTGTCCACTGCCACTATCGAAAAGACCCATTTAATACGACACTTAATGTAAATAATACTATCTTGCGCTACAGGTGTATTATTTTAAGTCCTAAGTTCAGGTATTGCTGTACTTGATGATACAGCCGCAACATTCTGTACTGTACCTGTACTTTAGAACGTCATCTGTACTGTATTTGTATTGATGTTTCTTAGTAAAGTTAAGCCGGTTGTCGGGAGGTAGAGATTTCGTGTGTGTGTGTGTGTGTGTGTGTGTGTGTGTGTGTGTGGTTGTGTGTGTGTGTGGAGGTAAGGTGGAGGAGGAAGTAAATTAGGTGAAGGAGATGAGTAAGTGGAGGAGGAGATGAGTAAGGTGGTGGTGGAAGATGAGGAGGAGGTGAGTAAGGTGGTGGAGGAGGAGGTGGTGAGTAAGGTAGTGGAGGAGGAGGTGGTGAGTAAGGTGGTGGAGGAGGAGGAGGAGGAGCAAGAATCAGACACACTGGTGCAGACTTATTGGCGCGAGACCGTCTGAACTGCCTGGAGTAAATTGTAGTCCTAGTCTGCGACCTTGTCCTCGTTCCCGGCGCAAGCCCCCTCCCCCCTCTCCCAACACCACGCCATGCCACGCCTCCTCTCTACGCACACGCCACGCCAAGCCCTCACGTACACACGCGCCACGCCTCCTCTCCAACACCACGCCACGCTTCTCTCCACGCGCACACACGCCACGCCCCCACCTCCCACATACTAACCTAACCTAACCTAACCGAACTCACCCTAGCGCCAATACAATGACCAAAATTAACCTATCCATATCTAACCCAACTTAAATGATCCTAATCTGTTCTAACTTAACCTAACCCTCCCTAGCATAACCCAATCTAACCAAACCCTCCTAGCATAACCCAACCCAACCTAACCCCTTTCTTAGCATAGCCCAACCTAACCAAACCCCCTCCTAGCATAACCCAACCTAACCTAACCCCCTCCCAGCATAGCCCAACCTAACCAAACCCCCATCCTAGCATAACCCAACCTAACCTAACCCCTTCCTAGCATAACCCAACCTAACCTAACCCTCCTAGCATAACCCAACCTAACCACCCCCTCCTACATAACCCTAACCTAACCCCCTTCTGACATAACCCAACCTTACTTGATCTAACACCCTCTTAATGTAATCTGACTTGACCCTATTAAAACCAACTTAAAATCGTTCTGTGGGTGACGCGTGTTGAGAGGCCCCACTAGGCCCTGCACAACAACCTATCGATACACCACACGCGGTAAAATGCGACACCCCGCCGCCTGTCTCTCATTATTTATTCCCAACACTTCTCCGCCTTTCCTTGTTGCATATTTGGGCGAACTTCAGCTGGTGTGATATAAGACATACAGACACCTGCTAACACACTATTTCCCCCCCCCCCCTAAAGTTAACGACATACAGACACTTCCTTACACCCAACTCTCGTGGACGGTGCGAGAGAACAGGCCACCACCCCATCAATGTGTTAGGTGCTGCTGAGTTTTAGCGGGTTCTTCATTTCCCCCAAAACTGGAGGTA